CTTATCCCTGGCCGTCGGGAGCCGAAACACGCAGCTCAGTCCTATCCCAAAGTCACCTCCGGAAAAGACGACTAAGGTCGACGCCGCATTGGAGGATACGGTGGCTCCAGACGGCCGGAGAGTCGGCGTTAGCTTTCGGGGTTTAGGGCCTGTGGTCAGTACAACAGCAAGAACAAGCATCTTGCCTCCAGTGGTAGTCCGTGAGGGCGTGGGGAGAAACCGTTTTCTCGAGCCCTGAAGATCTTGCATCGCCACGGCGAGGCCTGGCGCCCGAGATCTTGGGCGATTTGCGAACCCTGGCAGCTATCACCTCTGCCCGGCTCCCAGGCATCATGGTACACAAGTACAGGACGCTTATGCAGCCAGAGCTGTTTTTGGCAAGATCAGCCGGACGTTCTGTCTTATAATCGTAGAAACGATGTGCACATCGCAGACACACTTGAAGCAACAAGAGCCTGCCTTCCGTGCTTTGCAAGCCAACACTTTCGAGCGAATCGATTGACGATGCTTTCGTGCTTTCATTCAACGCCCGGTCTTAATCAATTTCGTTTCGTTTCGTGAAATCATGATTAAGAGCCCAACCTCGGGCTTGCTCGCATCTGTCTGCTCATCCTTTCAGAAGCTGGAAGCGACTGGTAAGGGTGTCAGCTTTTCCGTGAGAGTAAACGGCTTCTACAAGGACTCCACATTGAATCAACAAAACGAAAATGTCTTCTGTAAAGCCATGGAGTCTGTCACAACTGTCTTGCTTTGGCATTCACTCGCTTCAGTTCGCCCACCCACAGAGCCGAAACCCAATCGGCAGAATCGGAGTGTTGCTTCGGAGCAACTTGCAAGGTCCCCGCCCAAATTTAGTTGAGACACCCGTTTGACCTTATTTCCGCATACTTAGAACTCACAGTCTTGCTTCCCTCTGCATGCCAGAAGGTCGGGCTCCGAGCATTACAGCGTACAAGGGCCGAGGGTGCAGAAACCAGAGTTGAAGCGTCCGGGCAGGAGCTCACGGACCAGTCTTGCTCTAAATCCTGAAGCCCCAGACCGTCATAAAGGAGCTCAGCGCAGCCCCAATCGAAGCTGCAAATGGCTTTGGTAGGACCTCGGAGTTGTTCACAGCAAACTGAATTTTAAGTCTGGTATCACTTTAAAGGACCCGACGTTCTACTACACGCTTACAAGCTGCACCACATCAAAATGCCGAAGCACCTAACCGGAATGCTTGCAAAAGGCTCGACGCCAGCAGCGATTGAAGCAGGGAGCAATGGTCCTAGAGAGGCGCATGGTTTCGGGGTTTTAGCAAACGGGTCCGTGGAACCTGTGAGTTACATCATGCCCCTCTAAAGCTGTTGTTTGAGCGAGCAGTCTTTCAGAGAGCGAAGCGGAGGGCAGTGGTCACCCTTGGGGTTTGGAAAGCGACTTGTCGACAAGTTCAAAAGCGGCTTGGATAAGGGATTGTAAGGCAGCGAGGATGGGTTGGGACTCATTCTTCTTAACATTGGGCCTAGTGGGAAGGGAAAGCCCAACCAGGAGCAGCACGTCCTTTCAGCTGGATGACGACGGCCGAGTGGTCGGGCTGGTGCCTCCCTCGCATGACGTAGTAACGTAGTAATCTCATGATGTTGCAGTCGTATCTCTGGTGGAAGACACCACAGCTTTCTTGCAGCAAACCAGATGTCCGCATCAACCATATTAGAGGGGAGTCTTTTGTGCTCTTGGGGTCCTTTAGCAACAGAAATTAGGATTGTTAAAAGCGGACTACTTGCAGGGTTTCGCAGTGTGAGAGTAAGACTTCACTATCAGGGCTTGAGCAAGTGTTGCTGGTTTATTTTTGATGGTCTCAAGGCGACTATGCCGACAGCAAAAGCTTGCAAAAGTGTGCATAGCTAGCGTCAGCAAACCCATTGTCACCTTTGCTCTTGGGAGCCCCACGACGGGAAGCCACACGCATATGCAATCCAAAGCAACGAAGAAGCGAGTCGGTTTGCGTCTGCACCGCCAGGTGCGGGAATCGCCGTCGTCGGCAGCAGCCCAAAATGTTTCGGATCCAAAGCTTGTACATGTCTGATTTTTTCGTGCACAATAGCATCTTCGCTTCCAGGTCTCGCACCACCTCGTGGAAGAGCTGATGGTCCTGGCGTGTGGGGCCTCGGTCAACTTGGGGTCCAACGCTTTGAGAATCCTTAGAGGCTTTGGGCTCTGCAGCATCCTCCTCTGCGGCCCTCTGTCTGAGGAACCACGTGGTGGCCGAGAAGCTGGTGGAAGCCAGTTCTGGCGTTGGGGAGGCTTGGTGTTGTCAAGAGATGTCAAGTTCAGGGGTTTCAACGGAGCTTTCCTGAAAGGTATTGCAAATGTTTCTTTCGGCGTTTGTTTGCAAGCTAGGGCTGTTAATGGAAAAGGTTGCTGAGGCACCTGCTTGGGGACTCCGTCTCGGTGATGGCTTTTGGGCCAGCCGCTGTCGAACGTGCAGGGCTAGCAGGCATTCCGGTGTTCGGACAAGAATTTCTGTTACAGCCGGATGCCCAGCTGACAGGAGACCTCCGAGGCTGGCGTCCGCCAGGCAGTGCTCAGGCGCGTGAGGTGAAGATGTGGGAAGCGGGGTTTTGAGGATTCAGGGAATGGAGGGAAGTCTGTGCAGTTTTGTGCACGACAAAAAGCTTTCTCCTGTGGCGGCAGATGGCGATGAGAAGCACGAGATGGTATGAGCTATTCATCATCAAAGCTCTCGGGATTCATAATTAGCCTTCTCGTCGTTCACAGCCCAACATCCTGCACTGCAAATCTCAACACTTTGCCTGCGAATGCACTGTGACGTCCGATCCAGACATAGAAACTCGGGGAACTTCCCGCCGCAACCGAGTTCCAGACAATCGGCGTTAGTGTTGCACCCCTAAGGCCCTTCAGAGGCAATGAGCAAAACACAGAATGTTACTCCGACCAGCACCCCAACCCCTCCGGTTCAGTGTCTCGGATTGCTGACAACAATGTCCACGGCAGTGCTGAGGTTGGATACACACCATGATGGCCTTACAATCATTTGCATCCACGGTCAGAGATGCTTTCCGAAACCTCGCGAAAAACAAAGAGCCTTAAAGTCGAACGCAAGATTTCTGTCATCTCGGAAGCACTCAGCAGGCGGCATGAAAACACCGAGGCCGAAGCAAAGACCCAAGAGGGATTAGAGCCTTTGTTGCTTAGGAGCTTTCTTCTCTTTTGGGCTTAGCTCGGCGTTCACCGATTATGGGCACGGCCGTTCTGATTCTGTCGACCGTTTCGGCGCTTTTTTCGATCGTAGAGGTAAGTAAGGGCTGCGGCCCAGAGCAGACACAGGTCGAAGCTGTTTAGAGCTGCATGAGCCGGTAGCCTTGCAGGGTTCGGTGTACTTTGTGAAATTTCATCGACTGCCTGAAGGTGATTCGATTCCCTGGGAGCTCTAGTGACTTTACTTGAAACACCAATCTTTCGCTAGTTGATATTTTCGATGGGGTGGAGCTTCAGAGACGCCTTTCGACTTGAAGTCATGAGTGCACGGAGACGGGGGAATTCGTTCCCGAATGCTGTTCCATGTCCGACCTACTCGATCCTACTGCATACTCATAGTCGTTCCTGCTTTTCTGAAGATATGGCCCCATGCTCGCAAATTGGAAGCCTCCCACACCGACGCCAGCACACGATGCTCCTTGTCGTGCTCCGAGGTGAAGCAGGAGGTGCTCGAGATGCTGCCGAAGGACGTCGTTCCAGACTGTGGGAGCCTACGGCCTAGGGCCCTAGGGTCTAGCATGGTCTAGCCTAGCGAAGAGGAGCACATGATCCGGACACTTTCGGGCAGCCGCGACAGCAACAGCAGCGATGACAAGAGTGGGGAGGATAAGAAGCGGGCGGCAAGGCCAGCACCCTTTGTAAACACATGCCAGTCAAAAAAGAGTTTATGTATGATGACACTGACGGTTTCGTACTTGCGCTTTGGGCTTCACGAGCCATCACGAGTCATGGAAGGAGCTGCGAGAGCATGCGCCCCGGACACTCAAGGAGCTGCTGCCATGGCGCAGAACTCGGGCTTCGGGCTCCTGGTTCGTCTTCACTATGTCACGAAGGGCTGCGTTTAGGGTTGATATTAGTCTTAGAACCTTTAAACCACGAACCCTGTGGGAAGAGCTTTCTTAATAAGAACTGGACATGCTGACATGGAGTTGCTTTTAATGTGAGCCAGCAGCAGGCCATTTGAGTCCTCACATGGAGCTTCCAGGATTCTCGGGATTTGGGGCTTCGATTTTTTTTCCAGGGACTTTCAACTAGAACACGAGCTTTGCAGGTTGAAGCCACTAACCCAGCTTCAAGGTTCCTTACCCCCCCCCCCCCCCCCCCAAGCCCCTGAACACCGGAAGCCCGACATGCCGAAGCTCGAGTCCTGCAGCGTGCTAGCACCAGGTGCAGTCAGAAGCTACCGAGAGCGACCTACGAGGCTGTGGGGTGTCGGAGGTTCGGAGGTTCTATCCTGCAAAGGGTATTCAGAGGCAATGTCTTGGGATCTTTGTTCGGGCTGGCGGCGTTCCCGGGGACGATTCGAGTTGGGAGTTGTGTGCCTGGGGTTTGAGGTTTTCCGTTTCGGATCTTCGGGTTTAGTTTGATGGTTGGGAATTCGGGAAAAGTCCGCCAGTCTCTGAGCCCCACCGTCAGCATCGCTCTCAGCTTTCAGGCTGTTCTTCAAGGGGGATCCGGGGCCCGTGTTTTCGACCCAGGGTCCCAAGCTTGGAGCCCGGCATCCTGATGCCGCACCTCAACTTGGACGAGCTTAAGGCTGAAGGTTGGAGGCTTTGCACCGACGTCCCAAAACCCTAGCCGCCGAACCTGAATCTGAACTAAACCAGTTGAATCCAAAGGAGCCTGACACCGCGAAACGGACCCTGAACTTCAACCGCCTATTTAAGCTCTACAGAGAGCCAAGGAGCCTAACGTGTCAGGCTGTCTGTGACAGTGTGCTGAAGGAGTTTAAAGAGGCCGAGTACATGGCCTGGACCCCCGGGTGTTGTCGGGCGTTGCAGATTGTGAAATTTTCGGCTTGCGGAGGTTTCAGAATTGTGAGCTATCAGTGTCAGGGGTTTAGAGATTGCGACTTTTGGGGCATGAGGTCCAGACGATGGCAAGGACTAAATCCTGGCCGTTGTCGCGATGTAGGTACCGCAGGGCCTAGAGTTGAGACTCCAGCCCTCAACGCTGGACTTGAGACCAGCGAAGCCCCCAAAGTCAGGTTGCCGAGGAGGACGACGGCGATGTGCCTTCCTCACATCGTTTGTTCAGGGTTTCGGGTCTTTTGGGCCCAATGTGATGGATTTTACGGCTACAGGTACGACTGTCGTACTATGTTGGTAAAGGTGGTGATTTTGCCAGTGGGGGTGGTCTGGCGATGTGGTGCCAAGAACCTACAGTGAAGGGCTTGACTGAGTGCCGGGGGCTGTGGACTTGCATTCCATTGTCCTTGCTTGTTATCTTTGGTTGACAAAAGTCTTCGGGTGACTTGACTTGCTGCATGTCTGTGCGAGTTGGAGCCAATTAGCAGGGAAAGCAGCAATGTGAGGCATGTGAAGAGAAACACTAGTTTTCGGAGAACATGAGTAGTGCCAAGACACACAAGCAGACTGGAAAGGTCGGACACTGGGCGCTTTCCTTACCATCGTGTCTTGGCGAGCTTCCAATGCGGGGGTCGATGGTGGATGGGATCGGTGGGCCGTGATTGATGTGTTCCATTTTCTGGGTTTGTTGAGTGTGCAGTTCACCGTTTCGGGCTTTGGCTGCTGGTAAATGGAGAGCCTGGGTCATGGGGCATCTCCTTCAACACCCACATTTCTGGGTTTTCCGAAGCTGGGGAGGAATGTCTCACCCGAGAAAGTCAGAGTCTTCGAGCTTCAACGTGCAAACGTGAAACTCATCTTGACCGTGGGCCCTACGCCCTAAACCTTGAACCCTCACGCAGCCTCGAGCTCTTCACCCTGGGGGCCGGCAACAACTAGGTACATGCACTTCACGTCGCCAATCCGCCGCTACGCCGACATCCTGGTTCACCGCAGGCACCTGCTTTTCAGACTGAGCTTTTCGGGCTCTTCACAACTACCGTCTCGGCTAGGTGCAAACCAACAAAGGAGGAGAACGCGCAATAGTGGCACTGGAGCCTCAATCACTTGATGGCATCCAGGCGTAGGGTCTGGATATTTCTAGTAGAAAGTGTAACCCCGGATTTATTTTCCAAACCTCCGCCGTTAGTCATGATAATGATGGCGCTGTAGCATGTGCGGTGGTGTCAGTGCTAGTCGCAGTGGCGCCTGTAGCAGTAGTGGTTGTGTTGGTTGTGGGTGCAGTCGCAGTAGTAGCAGTAGTTTTCTAAAATGATGGAACCATCAACCGAAGATGAAACCGAATTGGGCATTGGGGCCCTTCTGCCAGGCGCAGGTAATGCGCAGGGTTTCGAAATAGATAGCGAAATCCAAAGGGGTCGCAATCGGAGTCAGATTCCCCGCGCATCGCTCAATATTCCGATACCATTTGGAGCTTGGCGTTGTCCAGAAGAGAGGTTTTGGTTCTTTTGAGAAGTTGGACGCGAAGAAACACAACATCATGTTTCTGACCCGTTCAACGGATTCAGCATGCAACGACTGCTTTGCAGCTTATGGTCACTGGAGTCTTCCTTGAAGACGATCGACGACATTGTGCTGAATACCATTCTGTTCACAGTCAAATTTCATCCAGAAGTCGAGAGTCGAAAGTAAGCATGAGTCGCTTGTCAGGCTGGCCTTTATTCTGGGCGCTCAGGGTGACCTGGAGTCCCAAAGCAGCCACGGCGTAGCCCCTGCATGTACTTTCTTTCTCGTTGCTGTCAATGGAGGGTTTGTGCAGGATCTTCGCGGATCTGGCGGGCAGATTTTTTTTTTGAGTGGCTGTGTGGTGAGATGGGTTGGGGGTCCGAGTTCGGGGTTCGGGGTCCTGTCAAGTTTGATGATGCACTTCGCAAGGGTTTTCGCAACTTATGAGGCTGAGGCTTTAAAGTTGCGAGGCCCGCGACTCTTGTAGACAGGCCCTCAGTCAAGATTAGAAAGGAAACGAACCTCCATGATGTCCACAACGGAAACTTTTCGCTTGAGGCTATGGACTAGCCCGATGCATGAAGTCCCATCTTCTACCCGGAGCCAGAGTGCCAACGTGTGAAGCACTGGCTGTGGTTCTTGGCAGGCCTTTCTGGAGTCCCTGAAGGAAGCAGCCGCTCCCCCGTTTGCCGCGCAGCCTCAGACCTCCCGGCTCCGAGCTTTCGCGAGGTCATCAACTGCAACACCAAGAAGCGCGATGCCCAAGATGCCCGCAGCCCAGACGGGACGGGACGGAAAGGGAAGGCATCATAGTCGGTGACAGGGATTGGCATGGCGCTTGGCATGGCGCCTCAGGGTCCCCTTTGTGCCGGGTAGCACCGCCCAGGCCGTTAATCGAGACTGACGCAGAAAAAAAGGCTTCAGTTCCCTCTGCTGAAACCACAGCCCAGAGGCGCAGATGGAAGAGATCCAGACTGTGCTCTCAGACTACGTCCAACGAAGCGGAGGCGCAGCATCTTCCTTGGCAGTACTGTGAATAAGAGTGACAGTTCAGGAGGCGTGTTGTCGTAGCAGTGACTCAGGAGTGTTTGAGTTGTAGCAATCGTTTACAAGTCGTAATGCAACGATTGTGGCCTGAACCGAAACTTGTTCACCGACCCAACAAAAAGAGCTGAGCCATGTTGAGTGTACCAGTAGTGATCACAGTGATTGTCACGACATTCATAGGAAATTGGTTTTTCATGCAAGTATTCATTTTAGTGAGAATCGAAACACGGGTAAAAGTGTATCATACAGTTATGCAAGACTTAAACCCCAAACCCCAAGACTGCGGACAACCAGAGCAGGGACAGCCGAATCACATCCAAAACGGCAAGGGCAGGCAGGCTTGGAGTGTTCGCAGTGAAATGGTCAGAATAGGACTGTAGTAAGGCAGCGCAGCTGACATTGCCTGTCAAACTTGTTGCGCTAGCTTTTAACACCTGCAAATTATAGGGGGAGGCGAAAAATATCGGAAAAGAAGCAACGCAACACCAAGACCCAGCCCAGATTTTGGCAAAGGGGGTCGTAAATTCCCAATGTTCCCGGGGCCAAAGTCCAGCTGGAAATCTAATTCTTTGCAAGGTAGTCAGTCAGCTGGATGGTGATACCAAATGAAGCCGGCGGAGGCATCGACGTGGACGACGCGGTCCTCACCCGCATCCTTGTGCAGCCAGCTGAGATCCAGGCGTAGCGGCGTAGCCTTTATTCTCGAAGTCCGACAAGCTTGGCTCCCGGGGCCGGGGTCTGGGCAGCTAGAGACTGAGAACATTTTGTGGGCGAGCTATGTTTTTGCAAGGATCGCTTCATTGCACTGCGTGCAGCAGACACAGGCAATGAAGACAAAGCAAACCGCTGAACATCCTCGAGCCTGCACGCCGAGGCCTGTGGCGGCTCCCAAAGAGGAGTCCAAGGCGATTTCACAGTTCATTACATGTGCTGTTGAATGGGTTGGAACGAACCGATTTTCTACGGGTCGATCCTCCAAGGTTCGTAACGTGGAGCCCCGAACAAGAGCCGATTCTTCTGTTATTGTTTCCTTGGAGAAGTGCCTCATGGAATTGCTTTCTCTAAGTCAAAGATCTCAGGAGCCCCAACTGCGGTATTATAACCGTTTAAAGGATTTACTGAAAGATCTAGAGTCTAGAGATATTAGGAGAATGCTGTTTCAAGAAAGGCCCTTACGAATAAAACAATGACTCATCAGAGAGACCAATCACCTCCTCGATTGAAAGCCCCATGCGATCTGCCCCGAGCCCTGGTAGGACGGGCAGCCGCTGTCCTTCCGCAAACGCTAAGGCCTCGGTTGAATTAGTTGAATTCATGGATCTCTAAACAAACCTCGCGCTTCGGCCTTGGAAGGTTTAATGGGAGGCCGTTGGTCTGCAGCAGTGTTCTGGGTTCTGGTGTTCAGAATCTCTGGATAAAAGCTAAACCCCAAGCTTCTGGAACCCCTAGCCCTTCAAGACGGTCTCCGCATCCTCACTTGGGTACAGTCTGGCTGGGGAGTGAGGCAGCCGGGTGCAAGAATGAGACAGATGCGGGGTTAGGGATGGACACGAATTTTCTCTCAAGCCGGAGCAGGAAGAGTTTCAGGCGGTGGTAGATTGGCCTTCACAGGCTTCGCCGAAACCTGCACCGAGTCGCTCATGAGATTCAGGAATCCACCAGATCCTCCAATCGCCGAGGCCTGACCACTCGGGCGGCGAAGGAGGCACGGTCAGCACTGAGCAAGGACAACCCGAGCCCAAGCCACACCAACATCGAACCTCTGTCATAGCCAGATCGAGTCAGTTTCCATGGATGCATCCAAGAAGAGACTCCGGGAACAACAGTCGTTTTGGGGTCTCCTCGGCCTCGAAGTCAGGGCTCTGCCCAGCCAAGGGCCGATGACCACCCGAAGCCCGCCAAAGCAAATGTGGGTTTATCGAGTTTGCTGGGGAGGCCGTGGAGATTTATGTGCCGCTGGCGCAGTGTGCTCGCTCCATGAGCTTGCGCCCGAGGGTGAAAGCCGGGGTTTGGGGATCTGGGCTCTCGGAGCTTGGCTTCGGGTTTAGTCTCAGCTTTGAGTCTTTAGGTCTTCAAGATCTCGCTCAAGGGCAAGCGAAGGATTCACGGGACTCATTGGACAATCCCAGTGCTGGACTGCAGCCGACCGACTTGAAGCTAAAGTCCTCTTGGCATGCTCGGTGTCCAACAACGTCAGGTTGGCACGAAGATCATCGGCATTCGCAATGCTTTGAGCACCACGTCGCCACATTCTGATCACAGAACTCTCGCCGTTGTCATCCCCATCAGCATTGCGATGATCGTGACTACCCTCTGTCACCAAAGCCGAAGTCCCTCTACCCTAAATCCTCAAATTCGCACACCGTAAGCCCTAAACCGCGATCCCTGCACGCTTAACCCCCAATCCCAGTCCCCAACTCGGATCCTAAGCCGAAGCCCTTAAGCTTCCTCTTTGCTTCGCTTCCCGTGTGATTTTTTTTTTGAGGCTTCTGCTGTCTTGTTTTTGAAAGGTCTCGAAGTTCTCGGCTTGGAAGTTGCTGAGCCCTGGCCTGCGTGCGGCCCTGAGCCTCGAGCCCTGTCGTCATTGTCATCACTCTTACAATGGTTGTAAACGGTCCTTGTTCTACCATTCTGATATATTAGTATCAGTGTTGTGGCCATGGGCCATGATGGTTTTCCTTCGTCTTCCTGTCGTCGTCATGGTCGTCGAGGTGTTGTCTGAAGGTCACTCTCGTGGCTGTTGGTTCTGTTGTGACTAGCACGGCCTGTGCGGCTTCTTTCGGTTGTTTGCTACTATGACTACTATGATTGCTGTGATGACGATGATAATGGATGGTCACGTTGGTGCTGTTGCTTGCCAGTGAGTAGTTGCCATACCCCAAAAATCATTGTTACTATTCGTGTTGCCATGAATTTACATTGGACTCGGCATCATGCGCTTGTTATGCCTAGTGGTAGTATTGCCATCTGCCATGAGTGTTGTTATGACTGCTTCGTTTTGTTACTATTTGCATAGCTTTCGACTGGACATTTGTTCCTGGCAATTCAGGCGGCGACTGTCATGTATGGGGGGCATTTGGGGCAGATTAGTGGACTCCAAAGTCTCCGCATTTTCTAAAGTGCTGTATGGGAGCGATCTCGGCGCCACCTTTGAAACAGGAGGTCATGCAGTACGACAAGAAGCTCTGGCAAATGGCGGGTAAGTTGAGCTATGCGGTAGCTGGCTGTCAACCTGCTTCGGCGCACAACAAAGTGGGCGAGACTGCTCGATTTCAATCTGGACTTCCTTACGCTGCGGTCGTTGGTCCGTGATGCCCTTTGTGAGCTTGGCTGGACTTCGGAGGGAAATGGTTGGCGACATTTCGATTGCGGCTTCTTCAATCTGAGCACGGAAGCGCATCGTGTGGGGCACATATTACGGGAATCTTGGCGCCGACTACACTACGGCAAGTTGGCTAGCAGTAATAGGCATGAGCTGCACCGTGAAGTGGTTCCACCGTACGATGAGCAAAGATGCACCAACGTTAGGAAGAAAACACGCTTGCCTCGCAACGTGGGGTTCTGCCTCGTCACGGGGGGGCCGTCCAAAGTGGAAAATTGCGCGCAGTAGCGTGGTGGAAATGAGATCAGATGCGGAATCTGCCATCAAACTGGCCATTCGTGGGATGAGCTCAGACACCGTGTTCAGCAGGTTGTTTTGGCGCATTTCTCCAGAGAGTCGCTGGAGCACGATGTTCTCTCTAGGCGATTTGTATGGGATCCACAATGGATTCCGTTCTATGCTTCAAAGGTGAAGAAACAGACACAATGATCACGAGGTTGTTCGGCATCCACTTGGATCCGATAATCGTGCTCTCGCAAGAGGTCCATGTGTGCTGTATGGTTTTTCAATAGTGATCTCGTCGAGGCGGATCCCTATGCAATGTCACAAGGTGTTATTTTCTGTCAGCGCATGCAAGTCGTTGGGCGCTGGATGTAATTGGGATTCTGGTCTCAGGTAACCTCTTGAAAGTCAACAGGTTTCCGGACTTGATCAAGATCTCGGGGACAGGTGCGAAGATTCCAAGTGGCATTTCTCTTTCCTCGCGGTCGCAGCTTTCATGATGCTCTGTGGCTACCGTTGCTTTCCGTTTGACTTGTTCAACGAAGCCGGTTGGACCGACGCGATCGCCTAGGCGCCGGTCTTGCAATTAAGCGAAGCAGGTACCAAAATTCTTCAAATCGAAATGCGGAGCTTCAAGATCCCTAAGCCGTGCAACCTCGGACCGAGAGGGATTTAGGGTTTACGGGTTTAAGACTTCTGGTGCCGCCCAGGCCAGGACCAGAGCCCGCTGCCAAAGCTGCTGGCAGGGGCTTCGGAATGGCACTTTTAGAGTGAACAGTGGAAGCTTCCTTTGGTTTGAGTTTGGGGATGTACACAGAGACTCGCAGAGTTTGGGGCTTCGAATGCCCACATTCAACGCTGCTCCGGAGCTGCACAGAAGGATTCGGTTGAGGGTCCTGGGGCTCATAGTCATAATCCTGCAACGCACAACCTTCAACTTGCTGCTGGGTTTTTCATAATCCGACGCATAGGGATTCTTTGGGGATTTTGTGGGGAGTTCCGGACCGAGGCCTGGAGGCCCGGCAAAAGAACACTCCGAATCGCCTGAGACCCTCCCTCCCTCCCTCCCTATCCCAAATGAGCTCCGATTTCATGCGCAGTCGGCGACAAGAAACGTGAGACACACCGTGAGGCCTGAAGCGGGTGGTGTTCTCAACCTTTGAGCTCGCTCTGGAACTTTCGGGTAGGTTTGCTGAAGCGAAGTTAGCCCTGGCTGCCATTGCGACAGATCCAATGCTTGACAACACAGCGCCATTGCATGTTTAACGGCCTTTATTGCCAGTAGTTATCGCGTTGACTTGTCCGCTTTCGCTAGTAGTCTCCTGAATGATACCCAGAAACGCGACTGCTGCTATCGCCACTGGCAAGTTTCATTCTTGCGATAATAGTCTTACGGGGGGTTCTCACAATGATTTTGGCACCACCATCACAACTCAATAGTATTGAATATTATGATCGCTGTTGTACCGGTAGCGGTGTAGAGGTGGTGGCGGTGGTGGCGGTGGTCGTAGTATTAGTCTAGTAGCAGAAGCAGCAGCAGCAGCAGCAGCAGGAGCAGCAGCAGCAGGAGGAGGAGAAAGTAGTAGTAGTAGTAGTAGTAGTAGCAGTAGTAGCAGTAGCAGTAGTAGTAGCAGTACTAGTAGTAGTAGTAGTAGTAGTAGTAGTAGTAGTAGTAGTAGTAGGAGTGGTAGTAGTAGTAGTAGTAGCAAAAA